GTGCCAGGCCCTCGTCGGGGAGAGCTGTCCCCACTACAATTCCAGAAAACAATGTATGTATTTTTTACAAATATAGTAGACTCTAAAAACCATGGAACACTTTCGAGAGATTGTGAGCGAAGCCCGAACACGCCCAAATTTTGTCGTCACTGTCGGGGGGACCTCAGACGTCGCACTGTTCAAATACGGCGCCACCACTGATTGCCTAAATTTTGTATCTGAATGAGAAAACAAATTTTCCTTCACTTTAACGGACACATAGACCCATAAATTGGCTGGTAATAAATTACAAGGATTTTTAATATCTCTAAATCATTGAAAAAATGTTTCAATCAGTTACTGGTTGTAATTTAGGTTATTTTGATCATTTTTAATTTCCTATTCAAATATTTTAATTGACGTTTTCTGACAGACAGTTTAGCTTTAAGCCCAGTCCTGATTATCAAATTTTATTTGACAAAAACAAATGTTGTATGCCCATATATTATAGTGATAATGTGCCTATATATGGTCATGATGTGACATTTAGGTATATCACATGTTTTTGTCCAATAAAATGGAGCTTAAAAGATATATTGATTTCCTTTATGAAGTCTCTGAATTGATGGAATATTCATCAGGTACTTACTGTCGCTGTTGTTGTCATCTGAAAAAAAAAAGATGATTTAAATTAATGAACAAAATCATTAAAGTTTATTAAAAATAAATGCTTAATGAAACGTTACTGTGTCTTAAAATAGGCACATTTAATTATTACGTACGTAGTGCAAGGTAATGGGGAGTTTTCTTTATTATTATCATTATTAAGCTATGTCAATGCCATTATGAATATTAACCAATGAAATCTAGCACAAAATACCGTAATATCTCCATTAGAAGCCCCATAGGCTAATCTCGAGAAGAAGCCCATCTCAACACCCCCACCCCAACCTCTTCAGTTTGCAAAAGTAATCTTGTCAAGATAATATGGGTTTATTTCGAGATAGTTATCACATTCCCAAATGCACAGCATTCATTTTGAAAAGAAGCCCCGCCTTCTTCAGTTTGCAAAAATAATCTCGAAAAAAGCCCGTCTCGAAAAGAGGCCAATCAAGAAAAAAAGCCCCTACAAGAGTCCTTTATGAAAGAAAAGAAAAAAACCCAGGGCTTCTATTCGAGGTTTTACGGTATGTACTGTCTACAACTCTGGCTGTAAAATATATTTTTAAATAAAGCAATGTTTCAGTGGTTATTGTAAACCCTGATACAGTGTATATATATTAGCCATGGACATAGTTATTGTGCACTTCACTGCCGACGACGAGCAGTGGGGAAAAAAAAAACAAAAAAAAAAACATGCATCAATAATGACGCAAATATATGCATATATATTTTAATATACGAAGGATTTTGTTAACTAAAAACAACATATTTTTAGGTAAAGTTTGTACAAGTAATATTTGTAATAACTTGATGGATTTATCTTGCAATAAATAAGTAATAATAATGATGATGATAAAACAAATTGTTTTAATTACTAATATATATTAACAATATTGATGGTGACGATGATGATAATGAATTATAATTACCATAGGGCCTATATTTATAATTATAAATTTACTGTAACAGTAATATAATAATCAATTGGGTTATTGTGATTATGTGTGTTTATTGAAACATATTTTTATCCATTTAAAATTGTATGTGATATGCTGATATTAAAAGATTAATTAAAAAAACACACACATAGAAATGAAATATTTGAGCAACTTAAAACATTTGAAATTACATCTTTCAAAATAACATAACATGAATTGTAAATGTTTATAATAGTCATTTTCACAACAATACTAACAAACTTCGGCCGGATAATCGGGAACCGTGCACGTTATATTTCCCATGGCGCAAGTTTAGTTTGCCACCGCCTTTATGTAGGTGAAAGGTGAACCAGGGTACCACTGATTCCGTTAAATCCGCTAATTTTGCTCGAAATAAAATCTGTATAAAAAAAATATATATATTAGAAGTAATAATCTAAATCAACGTCTTCGTTTTTAACAGTCATTTATCGATACTATCGACATCATTATCATTATTTTTGAACATCATCATTATTATCATACCCTAGTCAACATTCATTCATCTTCATCTTCCTTATTGTCATAATACATACGGTAATGATATTATTATTATTATTTTTATTATTATTTTAAGATAAGATAAACTTTTATCGTTTACAGAAAAACCTTACAAAATGGAAGAGAAAGAAAAAAAATGAAGAATATGAGGAAAAGAACAAAAAGTAAATATTAAATTAAACAAATATTATTAAGAATGTGGTAAACCCAGAAAACATTAGGTGAAAATTAAGGATTATAATAAGGAAAAATGAAAGTACAGTAAATCAATTACTTGCATAAGAAGAAAAAAAAAGTGACTGAAAAAAGGTTTATAAGATAGCCGTTACCTATCCCTGTGCTAAGGCATTAAAAAAAATCGTATTCATAAATATGCCAGAAACCTGTCAATAATCAATTTCGGAGATGCATTCCAATGAATATAACATCACATCAAGATCAGCTACTTTTGAAACTAAGACTATCATAATGTGAGGTGACAAGCACTGCTAATTACAATTCTTAAAACCACGCGAAGAACGTATCAACGTTGACGGGTGAGCTATCGACACGCGAGACCACGCGTTGGAAAAGACAAGGTATATTTTCCTAAAGAAACGGGATACAAACAAATTCATCGGGTTTGTTTTTGTAGATATAACTTTGATAGCAGAATTTCAAATCCAAAATTGGTGATGTAGTTTATTGGGGATCTGCGAATGAATCCAGCAACACTAAAACTATTAAAGACTATTTCGATAATTTAATATTTAAGATAATTTAATAGATATGTTCCACACTATGTCAAAATATATGTATGTATGTGTTCATTGTATGCACATATGCACTTTACAGGCTTATATATGTCTCTTATCCACATCTAGATGTGTATAAGAGACAGGAATTGATGGAATATTCATCAGGTACTTACTGTCGCTGTTGTTGTCATCTGAAAAAAAAAAAGATGATTTAAATTAATGAACAAAATCATTAAAGTTTATTAAAAATAAATGCTTAATGAAACGTTACTGTGTCTTAAAATAGGCACACTTAATAGGGCCTAGGTAGTTAGTGCATCGTGGATAAGCATTAGCCCTGTCTCTTATACACATCTAGATGTGTATAAGAGACAGCATGTACACTGTGAGACCGTTTTTTGGACACCTGATATATATATATATATATATATATATATATATATATATATGTACATAAATATATGAATATATATGTATGTATATATGTGTATGTATATGTATGTATGCGTATGAATGTATATGTATATATGTATGTATGTATATATATGAATATGCATATATATGTATATATATATATTTGTGTATATATATATTATATAGGCTTAATTATTAATTTATTATGCACACAAAACAATGTGATGTCTAGGTTTATATCCTAGAAAAAAAAAATAAATACACATCATTTTTGTTACTGGCGGTGTAGCCAGACTCTTGTGGAATTTTATTTTTTCTTTCGATATTCTCGCTGGACAGGCACTATCAGTCAACATAGAACACATGAGGACATATATAAGCTAACCGTCACGTGATCACTCAGTCTAGTGAGTAGATGTAAACGAACCGTACCAACCTACATTTAAAATGACCGTGTCTAGGAAAAAAATGTAAGCTATTAACATACGATGAAACTTTGCACCGTCAACAAATCACAACTAAAATCATCAAGAATGATTACTTTGCTCGGGGATGTAAATGACTTGGATCTACCAACACAACATGTATCTATTTAAAATTAAACATATAGTTGCATCTATCTGGATATAAACTTGAAAATTAGAGAATTTTTATATACTTATAATATATATATATACATATATACTATTACTTGAATACACATATATATTATAAATAAATAAATAAGAATAATTATATATACATATACATATATATAAATTCAAATATACATATACATCTATATATATATATATATATATATATAAAGTTATTATTATTATATATGTATATGTAGAGTATATACAGGTATATATATAGGCCTATATATATATAATTCTGTGTATATTTTATATTAAAATTAGGTTTTCTAGCGTAATCTGTAAATACAATATAACAATAAAATCAGATAAGATAAAATACTAAATACCAGTGCTCGAATAGGATCATGTGATGTCATGTTAATCTTATCAAGCAAAGCCCTTCAGGAAAGGTGTCTTCAGTTGTATAATAGAAGGTGTTCCTGGCGGGATTCGAACTTGCGGCTTCTCACTAACAAGGCAAGAGCCATGCAGTTAGACCTCGAAAATCTATAGGGTATAGGGGCAGATCTAACCCCAGGCACTGGCATAAAAACTGATAATTTCCTAGCTTCGAATTCAAGGCTAGTGTCTAGCATAACCATGGCCACATTGTGTGTGAGAGTAAAATCAGTCGGTAGTTTGGTTTAACTGACATAGATCTGACGCGTCAACACATCGCGTCGTCGACACTGTCTTAGTTGAACGAGGCTAACACATTGTGTTACTTGTTCTACATAACACCATATTTTGTGAATTATAGGCTTTTAGGTGCATTCACAATAAATCTGAAATTTCGGATCGGAAAGCCTACCGAAACGATCAGAAAATTGAATCAGTGTGTAAAAATAGGGACACTGGCTTTCTGCGCTTCGGAAACGCGGTCCGAATTCCTGTTCGGATCTAACGTGAATGCAGCTTTACCGTCTTCGATCGGAAAGCTTAAGACGTTGATGTCGTGACGTTAAGTGTACTTTGAATTTATAAACATAACTGAACCTGATTTTATTGGGTATCTTGAGCCTTGTTAGACTTTCCATTTTTCTAAAGTTAAAAACGACTTTACTGTTATTTTACTTAACCGGTTATATGTTACATGTTTGTACAATATGTTATTGGATACCGATATCTTATCCACATGCGACAAACATGTAGCACTGGCCGCGCGCTAAATTCTCTTTAGCAGGGGATGATTGTAACTTTCTTTTTTCTCGCGTGAAGTCGATCACCTTCTCTGTGAAATCGATCCTTTACATTCTATCGTTCTCAATTACAGTGCTACTAAAACTATATACATGAACACCTACCTGAAATTTAGTTTAAATGTTGACAACACTAAGTGACAGAAAAGAAGTAGAAAAACTCGAGCGAGATGCGCCTTCGTCACTCGCTCTGCATCTGTTTACATACGAATGCTGTCACCCACATACTCTTCCGTGGACTTGTTATGACAGACTCCTCATCGAAACTACTCAGTATCAGTAAATGTATTGGACCGGCTCTTATGAACGTCGTGTGTTCAATAATCGGAATCTCTGTTACACACTTCTGCAGCTGGAGCTTACTCAGTTCCTAATGACTAGCAGGAGAAGAGTAAGTTCATATCAAGCTGCTGTTCATCCAATGAGAGTACCTGTTTCTGCCTAGCAACTGGTTGGCTCTGATTGGTTAACTGTTATCCAATCCGCATTTGTTTATCGACTGTAATGGCAAAAATTGTGTGCCTTGAAGGATTTTGCCGAAACTGATTGCCTAGTGGTACGGTATTTTAATAATGACTTACTGTACAATGAAAACATATTGAACCATTAATACGTCATCAGTGCACTTTTACGCACTCTAACTAGTCACTGCGCCCTACGGTCTTTCGGCCGACGCGATCCTATAGAGAAAGCAAATCAACGGCGCGCGCGCACAAGGGATTTTTTTTTTATGACGATCCGTTCAGACTACTGCCTAGCGTTAACAGGGAGGGGAGTTGGATTCGTCGTATTAGCGAGCTTTCGAAATGGGCGACGCGGGGAGCTGCGACGGGGAATTCAGTCAACCATGAACGTCGTACTATGCACTTCCCGTCTCAACATCAAAGCTGTTTCGATTTACACGGGACGACGCGCTCACTCGTAGATCGCGTGATCAATTATGCAGGCGCCCCCAGCGAGCGCGTATTTATAAAACTTACGTTGCCGTAGTCAACACAACGCCAAATCGCTTGAAGCCCGTTGTCAAATCCACACAACGAACGACTTCCCCATGTATTCGCATGCGCAGTACGGTTTCACGCTTCGCTGCCAGTCGTAGAACGCCGCGTCGTCCAAATCGAAAGCTGCTTACTGTCGTCGTACGACGCAGTGAGTGCCCGATTTAAGAGGTAGCGTAACGCTCGTTCAATAGTGTATACTAGGCCTATGTATGTAAATTTAATATTTAAACACGTATATATTTAATATGTAACTGATGGTCGCAGTTCAGCTATACAATAGAACCCCTATTTTCGGGGTTTAGTTGGCATTAAAAACTTTTTTCCTTTTTTCAGGGACGAAAATGTGAAACCTCTTTTATTAGAGTTTTTGATGACACAGATTTTCATATTTTTAATACAAAAAAGAGTATTAAACTTGCTGTCCAAAAAAATATAATATTCCTTTTGTTTTGAGGAAAAGTGTTGTCTTCTAAATAGAACTGTATCCTGAATGGTGTTGTCCCAAAGAAGAAGTTCAATCTTATTGTATTGATGTGTTAATCTTTATAATGCAATTTGATTTCCTGTATTGGAATCAATGTTTTTCATCACATGTTGATTATACATTTTCACGAGTTGAACATGTTTCAAAGGTCAGTTTATCAACTAAGTTACTCTAGTCGTTTTTTATCATTGAGAATGTCTTAACAATGAATGACAGTTTGGAATCCCAGTGGGGACAATACATTTATGTTTCTGAAGAACATTAATATCTCCAGAGCGTCTTAATGGACAGAATAGTAATTACAACATGCCATATAAACAATACGTGATTTTCGGATATAATAATAGTTTAATTGCACGTTTTAGCAACACTGATAGAATTAATTATTTGATTCTAAATTTTTATCGCTAAACATTGTATATTCTTTATTGTGTTTTACAACATATCTAACAGGGATGACCCATCCAGCAACCCTTTGATATTTAATAGGGAAATTCGGAGAGAATAACTTTTCTTTGGGTGTGTTTGTAAGATTCGAACCCAGAATATTGCGTTTAGAAGGCGTGCATTTCAACCATAAAAATAAAACCTACACTATTAGTTGAAAATAATAGTTATCATCAGTTAGAAAAAAGTTAAAAAATAACTTCAAAATTACATTTTTGCAGTAACGTTCAAGTTAATAACTTAAGCATAGAAATTATTGAATTAAAAAAAATATGTTCTTTGATTTTATACTGGATACTGCTAATTGTGACATCTTTAAACTCTTACAAAAACTGGAAGTGTTTTTTTTATTTTTTTTATTTTTCATTTTCACTGTAGAATTATGGGTAAACATTTTTAAATACATTAATTTCTTTGTTCAAGTTGATAATTTTTATATTTGCCTCAAAATGAGAAAGTTAATTTAAAAAATGCTTTTTATGATCTTCTTTTTTGTCGGGGGTGGGTATTTTATGAGGGACAAACACCTTTAAAGCTACAGATGTTCTTCATTTTAAATCATCTTTGCGAGAAACGTAATTTCGTCTGTTGAAGATAAATAATGTTTAATTTGTCTTATGTCTGGACGAATTCGGAGATAAAAGTACAGATTAGTGTCATGGGTAGAAACTTGAAAAGATATTGAATGTTATCATTCACTTTATTGATATACTATCAGGGAGTGTAACACTGTCAGCCATAATGGTCAGAAGCAATTAGCTAAAAGCGTTATTGTCGTCTTGGAAGAATTCAGGGATTTTTTAAGATTACGGAATCCTTGGTTACTATAATCCAGGCTACAGTTCGAACGATCATCTTGTATTATAAAGAAAAGTTGATCGTGTTTATGCACTAGGTTGAAACTACATCCGAATTAATTGCGTTAACCAAACCTATAATGGGTAATTAATACAGACATTGGCATCAACACGATAAATGGACAATAATAACCAAAGCTTAGTATTGAACGTGTAGCAGTTGCAATGCTTGATTAAAGTAACAGTTCCTCTGAACCACAAGTTAATTTATGTGAGCCCGCATTATATCACCTTACACCCATTGAAAGGTATATTAACAACTTTACAGCTATTTTTTTAAAGTCTCACTGGGTAATGCGGCTGCTTAGATATTCAAACACCCCAAAATTATTCGATCAATATTATGATTAATTAAAGCATCTCCTGTATGTAACAAAACACCCCGCTGTTACTTTAAGTCTAGTTTATTCTTTACCATAAACATCGTGTGTTAATGAATCCAACGAAGGTAATCCACGAAATGGAATGTGAAGTGAATGTCCTGTTTATGACGTAATACGATAAATTTACATTGCCAGTCATATTTTTAAAGGAGGAAGAGCATGACATAAATGCAAAAATGAAATTAAATAATATTAGCATATGATAATAATAAATATAATAATAATAAGAAGAAGAAGAACAATCATACTAACAACAATAACAGCAGCACAGCAACAACAAAATTAATAAATAATATCGATAACATGTTGTATAATAAAAAATATCTATAATAATAAGACAAATAATGATAATAAAAGCACCAATAGTACGGTATGTCATAGGCAGTTTGGAAAAATATTTAGTATCGTCATTGGTCAACAGACAGTTCCAAAAACTATAATTATAATACAATTAAGATGTCATCAACAAATTTGGCAGGATTGTGTAATGTAACAGAAAGCTGCTGGTACCAGCATTTATTAGCCTTGCAGCCACAAAATTGGAATACAATAGAATCCTCCATTATTTGGACACCCCTATTACGGGGACACTTTTTTTTGTTACGAAGTGAAAGAAAGTGTAGCTTTTCACTCTACAGCAAACAATAGGACCTTACTATAAAGTGAAAACTGTTTTGGTCTCAGATTTGCTATGCTTGACCAGGATAGATAAGCGAAAACGGATGCAGACAGAATGAGACAGAGAGACGATTTTTATATTTTTTTACACTGTACCAGATTCAGTGAAGAAATGCCAATAAAAGAGAGGATCTAATTCCGATTAATTGGTTAGCTGTTGCAAGCCATACTTCAAGTTAAATTATACCTTATTAGTATTCATGTGTTTTCATGAATAGGTCATAGCACCTCTTTTAGCTAGAAGTATATCGGTTAATGCATACATTAAACTATCTTTCACCAATGTTGTCTTTCAGAATCTCATTATAACATTATGATGACATCATCATATTGATGCGATAATGCTCATTTTCATCGTCAACATCGAAGAGGTCCACCTGTTTAGGAACACCTGTTCAGCAGCGCAACTTTTCAGAGAGTAAATCTCACATTAAAGTAACAGTTACACTGGTCATTTCGAGTCACTTTATTTTGTAGGCTTACACTAAAACTGTAACAAAGTTGGTGAGCGAGTACCCGGGTACGCGCTGCACAACACCCAGTCACAAGCAATAACACCGACAGACGGTCTTTTTAGGCCTAATTTATCTGTAAAATATATAATTACGTGAACACATTATTACACGCTTGACCTAACTGATCAAAATACATAATCTACTATGTCTTTACGCTGTCCTAGTCTCTTTTCAGCCACTCGGCTACATTTTACTTCTAATATTTTCCCAAGAGTCACTTGTATCTTTAAATTAGACAAAGTACTTAAACTCAGATTAGCTTACAGTAATCATCTTATTATCCTAAATTTCTCAACAATGTTGTTTGGGGTCTATTGCGAAATAATGTATTTTTATGTGAATATGAAATGAATGAAGTAACTTAAGAATGGCACAAGCTATTAAGTTAGTGTCTTCTTTCAATGATTGAGCCTTTCTATTTCCGTTGAAAGAGATTTAAGAACAATAAAACCATAATCCAAAACAACCCTAAGTAACTGTGTTCATTTTAAATTTACCGATAAATTTATTGTATAATTTTGCAATTTCCTTAGTTGACATACCTTCATTACATTAATCGTTACTAATAATACCAAATGATGTCCATTCGCTTACAGTTTGATTTGACGACAATAATATGAAAAGATCGTTTTACGATCTGCTACACTATTTAGGCAAGTGCCTTGTACTCTTTTGGCGCGTTTCAAAAAGAACAATGAAGTGTTACTAAATGCACAGAGCTAATAAAAGTTCTAAGAGTGCATATGATGGTATTCACTCATGAAGAATAAATTTAAAAATTAGGCTTACAGTGCAAAATCCTTTTATATTTTTTCACTTTTATAACCAGTTGAGGTTGGATATTTGGTATCGTTATTCGGCACAAAGTATGTCAATGATTGAATCATACTGATACTCTGGAAGATATGTATTTCAGACATCTTTCTATCGTTCAAACTGACAAGACCTCGACGTATTTATCAATTCGCCGGTTACTAGTTTAGAGAGCAATT